AGCTTTCACCATCAAAACATTAATTAAATCAAACACCTACTGGTCGACAGCGCAGCCCGAGATCGAATCTTCCAATACTGCATTTATGCTTTCGCCACATTATCTACGAAGTCCTTAATACCTGTGCAGCTTTTGAAGTACTTTTATTCTATTTCATGGCTAATCGTTTAAAAGTAACTAACATTAAGTACTAAATATTGGATAAAGATTGCGAAACGCGGTGAAGCGAATCCCCGGCGCGTGGGCAAAAAAAAAAATAGCAGTGCGTCAAAATAAATAGGGAGTCGCACTTAAGTATTGTCGAAAGGTATCAGTTTAGAACCTAGATCAAAATGATACTCACCATTACAGGAATCCAGGTCGCGTGAAATGTCAGACCCAGCACACATTTCATCTTAGCAAAGTCTCTCTCAGCTCCGAGTCTTCCACTGTACAAAGCAAAGGACTTGGAGGAACGTATCGCAGAAGCATCGTCCAGAGAGTAACTTGAACAGTTGAAACAACTTAGAACATTGTGGACAATCTGTAGTAATAAACAGGCACTGCTGCTCATTAAGAGAGCGAATAAAAATGTGTAATCTGAGTTCTGTGTGGGATAGCTTATTTGCTCTAAGGAGCAAAATAAAGTCGTTACGTTTCCTCCAGACAACTTTGTAGAACTGTACAATTGTGTCAGTGTCTTTCCATCAGGACCCAGGCCAATGTAAGGCAACGAGGCAATTAACAAGGCCACAATGGCTATTCCTACAACTAAATTAACAATAACGAGGGAAGAATTTCGCGAACTTTCTCTGTGTTTATGCTCGTGCCTTGAGCAGGCTAAAGATGACGAAATTCTGTCGCCGATACTTCGATAGATCCCTCGAGCGGTCATGGCCAAGTAAGAGGTGTAGTTAAGCGTAGTAATTATAAACAGCGATGCCAACTTTAACCACACAAACATCAGGTGCATTATCTCACAAATCGCTGGTCTTTCGATATAGTTTGATCGCTGAGTTCCAGAGCAGTTGTTGTACAGCGAGAGGTATATTGGTATAGGTATACAGACGGTTAAAAAGTCCACTGAAACCAGCGACATCAACAAAACGTCTCTGCTTGTTCGACCGCATCGTGTACGAAGTTTCGCGTAACACACCACACACGGAAAAATATTCAGAAAAAAGCCAAAAGCTCCAGCCACTAGCAAAAACAAATTCATAGAGCCTAGAAAGGAGCAATTTAAATTCATTTGAGGGGACTCGTCTTGGTCATTGTCTGTATGAGCCATTTTGGTCACGTACAATTTTCAAAGGCTATCGATCCTACCTTATCGTTCGGCCCTTCAAAGCGGAACATCAACCCGTGCGGTTTGAAGTCGCGCCAAATATGCGTCATTTATCGGGTAAACAAAGGTTCAAGCAAATTGCTGGAGGCCAGAGGCACTAAAAATACATTTTTTAAAAGCCCTTTTGAACAGAGGTTTACAATCTAAACAAACTTCTCGACAAGCTCCACCATTCTAAGTCTCGAGCGGAAATGTTCAAGAAAGAAGAGGTAAAAAATAACAAATAAGAAGAATACAAAGGAAAAAGTGGGTGGCCCGTAATATAGGAAATATTTGCCGCACAATAATTTCCCATTTGATATTAAAAAAAAAAGTGTTTCGAACCTTTGCCTAGGCTGATAATTTTGATAACTTCTTTTTTTAGGGCACTTTTAGCAACTTCATTAATTTTTTTTTAACTAATTCCAAGGACTACTGATCTGCAAGCAACACACGACCTGGAACTCTGAAAACTCTAATTAGGTAGTATTTCACACCTTAGAGACTGCAGTGCGCTAAGAAGGTGAAAATTGTGGTCAGGAAATGGAGAAAAGCATGTAATCGTATTTCCTATTTACTTTTTGCTCTTCTCTGACTGACCTAAAATGAGAGATGATTGACCCGTTAAAAGACAAACCAGCCAGACAAGCATTTGTTATGATAACAAATTAGGCCAATGTTAATCCACAAAGCTTGCATGGAACTCACATGCAGCAACGATGATATTTTGCTCTGGTGACTCCTTTGACAAAAAGTTTTAACATAACATTGAAGATTGTGTATACTTTTCAGCCGCAATGGATGTTCTCGTTTAGTAAGTAAACTGAAATTTGCTTCAAAGTTATCACTTTGACACAGGTTATTTTTTAGCATTCCACAACAATATACTTTTTGCCTTTGAAAAAAATAAAACAAACTTACCTCTACCTATAGATAAACAGCTTTAAAGGTCACAAAAATGCTTTGTGGACAGCCATTAGGATTAGTCTGAAATCTCTGATTTTTTTTACAGAAAAACAAAGGAGGGCCGGTTCAAAATTGACAGACATGAATGGGGAATATTGGGGGTAAAACCTGAGACACTAGGCAATCTGGGACATTGTCCATAAATGTATCCCCTATTTGCAAATTAAAACTTCTGCTCATGATAGTTAACTGATTATAAATCATGACTAAAGAGTGTCTGTTGAATAGATTGGCTGACAAAAAGCCCCTTTCGATGATCTATTTTGGTTTAAACAAGAATGAGCTTTGACCTCCGTTAAGTTCACACCAATTTGTAACTAATCTAAAACGGAAAACGCTCCTGCTGATGCGGATTACCAAATTCAAAGCGAATTGGGCCAGTAGCAGATACTTAATCACTCAAATCATTCCTGAACATAGCAATAGTAATTTAGACTGTCTGGATGAGCCAGTTTCATCCAAGAAGTTGCGCGTAGCCCGACAGATCGGCCAAAGAAGTAGGACGAGTCTTATTTGATTGAATAGGAAAGAGCACGACGAGACTGGTCAAGTTATTATTCTTTGCCTTTTTTGCATGTCTGTTTGTTTCGTGTTGTTCTTCCCTTTCGCTTGATGGTCTTATTTGGCTTGTCTGTTCGAAAAGAAGAGTATGCACTCCTTGAGTTGATTAGAATTAACTTCAGGACAGGGGAAAACTTGTTGCTCTCAGTTTTGTTTTCTTTTTTGTTTTTGTTGTTTCTGTTTTTTTATATATTTGTTTGCTCGTTCGCTTTCAGTATAGAGAACAATCATCTAGGTCCATTTTTTCCTTGCCGGCTTGGTTTTTCAGGAAATTACAGAAAATAAAATGCTATTGCATGATTAAATTTGATGTTTGTTTACCTGCAAGTGAATGAAAAGTACATGTATTCATTTTGAAAGTTTCAGAGACTTATCGCTGATTACTCTAGGTCAGAGTCGCTCCTTCAGTGGTTTGACATTTCAAATAAAATTCTGAAGAAAAATTTCTCTTTTATCCAGAAAACTAGTGACATGAGCACTTCTTTCTGCACAATTCAATATGGTTCAGAGCCAGCTTGACTATCAAAACCCTCTGCAGAAGTGCATGTATAAATCAAAAAGTAGGATTTGAAGAAAGATGAAACAAAATATGCTGACTGCAAATCAATAATAGGGTGTTTTTAAAAGCTGTGGAGCTGTGGAGGTGCCAAGGTCTTGTGTGTCGCAAAATTATCACGTCATGTTGACACATCATTAAGCAATTATGAAATCATTTTCGAGAGAATGAGCGTAAAACTGGGCATCCATTGGGTAACTAGTCTTGAAATTAATTCTACGCCACCTTAAAGGTAGATCACTTTATTAATTTTTAGAGTTTCCCTAACAAACTTTGCGTCACACTTGCTACATCTTAGTCTACATAAATTGTGTAGATACTTGCGTTTCTAAAGATCCACAATAACAGTTTCGAGGCTAAACAATCTCTAAATGAAACAGCCTGAGTTTGAAAAAAACCAAACTCGACCCTTGCACTCAACTCATGATGAACGGCAGCTATCTTTAAAACAATTAAGTATCCGTGGGATTCAGCTTTTCCTGTTGAAGACTTTCCACCCAGTGCGAAACACACCTATCACCGGTTTAGAACTTAAGCTAAAGTTACGTAAAAAAAATAAAAACTGAATCAGATTTTTCAATCTCAGGTGAAGCAAACCAGAATGGTGATTCGAATTCGGAAGGATAAATCAGAGCATCATCTAAACTACGACCCACTTTTACTAAACATCCACACATATGTATTGTAAGTAGTGTAAGTTAATGTAGTTTAAACATGGTGTAAAAAGTAATTATAGTGTAAGTACATGTGTAAGTGTAATAAACAATGCTGTATTAAAAAAAAAAAAAACAACAACAACAACAGTCAACCAGTCGGTCAGGCAGTCTCTAAGGAAACAATATAATGTGGTTGATACTTGATGTTTCCTTGGGAATTTGGCCAGAGAGTGAAATGGGTCAAGTCTTGCTTAGTTCACGCTGAAAACACGGTTATGCAAAAGGTATCCGCAGACAACCCAAAAGCAGTTTATTTTACTAGATTGCATTGAAATCTGTAAGAATATACATTTNNGGTGAATATCGTCGAATAATCCCCGAGACGAAGTCGAGGGGATTATTCGACAATATTCACCGAACCTGAAGCGAATAATTGTTTTAGTATAATTTCAGAGCTGAAAACAGAGAATTTTCTAAAATCATAACATTTTAGTAACACTTATTAACATTTTATTCTACCATTTTATATAAACCGCGTGGAGCGGTTTATATAGCGTCATATAAGGAACCGCTCGACCAATCACATTGCTGGAAACTCTTTGCTCAGCTCTGAAATTATACTAAATATATATATATATACAATTTACGAAGGAAAATTAATAGCATTCCACCTCCGCTCACAATTTACAACCATATACAGTTGAACTCTAATGCAGGTTGACCGCCTCAGACAGGTTCCACAGATTATGGGTAGTGTATTCAACAATACACAACGCCACTTTGTGCCATAATTAACCACTTAGTGTACAGAATCTCGCTAAAGAATACTAGTTATTTTGGGAGAAAAACATCGATGAAAAAGTACTTTAAAGATTATTCTTAGTTTCACTTGAGTGGTTCGGCTTGAAAAGACCGTTCAAAACCGTACAAAGAGATACGTTAAGAATAAAAGGAATGGCTATACTTAGCTAAAGGAATTTGATCATATCATCAAGTGCTATACCACAGCATTGGAAAAATAATGGCGGAATATTATAATGATTATAACGGAAGATTACTCTTACCTGGTGACATTTAAAGCATGCCCACTCATAAGAAGGTCTCTCGTAAATGATATCGTTGCTCACTGCCTCGATATCTGCAACAGCTTGTTTGAACCAACGCCTGGCCTCCTTTGGTTGAGGATTTTTTCTTTGATATCGTGGTCTGTATCCCTTGCGCGTCCTGTTGTGTTCCCTTGCACGCACTGTCCACAAACCAAACAACCCCCGGTCGGACCTGTCTCGTGGGTCTCCTAGTTCTAACCTTGAAACTTCGCTCTCTATGTGCTGACATACCTCTTTGCAGAATTCCTCATCGCCTACGTTTTTATCAGGGTGCCACCGCAAATACAGCCGCTTGATTATTTTTCGTCTTATGTCATCAGGCGATGTCCACGCCTCCTCCAGACGGTCTGAGATCTCTTCGAAAATCCTCTGTCTGTTTCTTGGCTTGGGGAGCTGCCTAGGCCTATCACACGCGACAGTCGCAGATAGAGATGACTCGGTCAAACGATGGAATTTGTACAGATCCGTAACATCGACAATTTCATTTTGGCCATTTCCAATGTTGATTCTGTAACGTCTTCTCAGCCGGCTGTTGCATTCAGTTCTAACTTCTTCTATAATTATAGCATATATGTAAGTAGCATCTCCTTGTTCTCCAACTACGCTTGGGTCATGCAGTTCATATCCAACAAAATCGTCAGGTTCAAACTCTTCAAAGTCGTCATTTAAGCAATGGTGGTCTTCTTGGGGGATAAAGCTGCCAGGTTCAGGCAGAATTTCCAGCTCCTCTGCAGAAAACGAGTCATCTGGTCGAACACCCAATCTATCTAGATGGGACCATATGGCGCCAAGGGGACATGCCAGCATATAAGAAATAAATAAGGCCCTCCGTCCAAGAAGAGTTTCGCATATGTCCTCGACCACGCTAGATACCAACAATGTTGTCATGCTTTCTTCATTTGCTCCCATCATAGCATTGACGTATACTCTTGATTTTTCCTCGCCGGAAACCAACCCTTTCTCCACGAAGTACGGAACGTTTGCCTCGCTAGCTGGGATGGGTTCGTTGTCGCAGAAAAGTGTAGTTTTGAGACCGTATACGGAATAAACCTCGATGCTGCGAAGCCTTGTCTTGATGTTTGCAATCGTGCTGTCATCGCCCTCTCTTTCTAGTCTACAGTTCTCGTCTCGAATTAGTCTCGCAATGCCGCAAAAGAACTGCGGAGATGAAAGCTGATATCTAAAGTGGGTTATTGCAGTACTCGTTAGATTTTCGACAGTTGAAGAAGTAATTTTTTCTTCGACAACACTGGACAGCAGTTTTGGGCGCAAATACTTTGGTAACTTCTCTACCAGCTCTTTGTAATTAATGTTCGTAGTATGGCAGGTCACCCTCATGAGGCGAAGATCAAGTAGGAGGTTCTTTCGGAAACTATGCAATCGATCTCGGATACAGGCCGGGACATCACTGAAAATCAGCTCCGATGACCTTTGCAAATAGAGAGGTATTACATTGTCAGTACTCTCTGTCCCGACGCTTGTAAGAGTCAATCCCGGTAGGTAGAGATGTGCAATGGAATTCACTCCTTCATTATTTTGCTGAACTTTATTAAAGAACCCTTGGACTGCTTTTTTGCACATGTTTACTTCATTCGGGTCCAGTTTGCAACTGTGGCACCTCTTGTACAGTTGGTCTAACACCATAGCATAGTGGACCACAGTGACAGATCTGGAGCAGCCAAGCGCCTGGAACAAATGATAAAACTTACCAAATTCCCTAGGAATTCCATACAGGAATGGTCTAATCTCATGGCTCCCATAGAGCTCAAGGACGGCTTGATGAGGTGGAATGAATTTCTTGCCATTTTCAACCAAAATGCAAGGTGCATTTTCGAGACTTTTTATTGCATTTCTTTCTGTGATGAGGTTGATCTTCAAGAAAGAGTAGATACGTTCCATCACCGCTATTAATGTGCTACATCTTTCAGGCGATGAATTTGTTTTTTCACTGTTTCTTTCAACTTCTAAAGACAAAGTTTTGCAGTGAGCGACCACAAGGTCCACTGAGGGCTCTTCTTGAATCTGAAGTTGGGAGATTAACGAATCGCAGTATTTCTCCATTTCAACATCTGAAGGAAAGTCCGCAACAAAAGCACGTAAACGATGCCTTGGATTCGCCCAATCTGGAAGTAAATTTGCTTTCGTCCAAACAGTTTCGGTATAATTGACCGGAACTGCCCCTTGGAAGGCAAAATGTGGAACCTGCTGACCTCTGAAGCCCCCAAACGGCAAGCAAATTGCTTGGAGACCCTCACTAACTGGCTCACCAACTACAAAAGGGATATTGCGGATGTTTTGCAACAATCCTTCAACCAATACGTTGTCACGGTTGATGAGATGCTCGACCAATACTTCAGATTTCTTGCGGATATTTTCACTTGGAGTTGATGCAGCCTCGTGTGCAACTTCTGTGGCAAACGATTTAAATTGATCTTTAGTAACCATGTGAATAAGACCTATTTGCCGTAAAAACGTCACCCATTCCGGTGAGTCGAAAGGGTCCATTGGAAAAAGATGTTTTGCAAGCATAATCTCAAAGACTTTGTTTTCGCGGTCATAAAAACAGGATGCGGTCTTCAGACTTCCATCTGCAGAGGGAACGAACGGAGTATTTCTCAAACACCCAAACAGCTCTTGCTTCTCGGCATCCATTGCATATTCTGAAATCTTTTTCCGGAGGTATGTCAGGTGAGATTCTCTGCCTTCTTTGCCGAAAATAGAGATATTTGGCAAAATAAAGCTACAATAGAAATCAACCTCAGAGTAGGATTCCAGCGACAGGAACTCGAAGAGTTCAGAAATTCTTGACTGGGATTCCAGAAAAACGATGTCCAATGCACTCTCAAGTACATCAATTTCGATCTTTGGTACTTCACTTGGTAGGACCAAAACCCTTCGGTCATTTAGTGCTATTAATCCACCATCGGCCGCCAGATAAAAGGGAAGTCTTCTCAAGGTGTCCTTTTCGTTGTCTTTCAGGCATGTCGCACTTTTGCTAAAGTATTCCAAGATGGTAGTACATTCTGTAACTTCCAGTCTACCTTCCAATGACTGTGGTTCTAGGCCCATCTTATTTTCGAGCGAAGTGAGAAGTGATGTCGGTGACTTTAAAGAGGATACCAGCATGCGAGCTAGATAAACAGATTTTGAAGACAACGTCATGTCTATGCTGGTGGCTAGGAGTACACCTGAGTTAAGGTCGGGCAAGGCAACCTTTCGGAAGACATCAACAAGTTTAGAATTTGAGGAATCTGCACTACTGAAATCTAACGCAAAGTTTGCTAGGCTTAGAGGTAACAGATGGTGTTTGGTTGGATGATGTGTCCTGACCTGAAGGAAAGAATCCAGTGGTGACTCTCTTTGTGCTGCATCTGTCTCGGTAACCGGGAGAATGCTCCAGTTAAACAAAGGTGCGAGCATTTTTTGGATTTCAAGGATCTTTTCCTCTTCTTTCATTTCTGCATTACCAATACCGTCTTCTACAAGCTTGGACAGAAAGAGCCAGACCTCAGATATCCATTTTTGGTTAGGTATCTCTCTCTTGTATGGGTACCACTGAATAAGTCGTCCTGTTCCATAAGTTTCTGTGGGTAAAGTCTGAGGTAGATTGGCGACGAATGAGGTGGCATTCAGATGCTTCAGAGAACTTGATTCTACTTTGTCGGGGCATTCAAAAACACTCCTATAAAGAAGCTTGTGAAGGAAAATGTGAGGTGACCTGGGTAAAAGATCTAGATGTCGTGAGAACAATTTGGGATTTTCACACGAAAACAAATGGAGATACTGGTCGTGTGTAAGTAGGAGTGGAAGACCTGGTAAATCATTTAGGAAACTTTTATCATGGCGGCAATACCGCAACACTGTGGCTACTCCAAGAGCACTTTTAAGTGACGTTTCCTGGACATCGCAAGGAATTGGTCCAATTGTGCACAAACGATCATGGGAACTGAACGTTTTATAGAAATCGATAACCTTGCGAGGTGAAATGCAACACGTTGCAACTTTAGCTCGCTGAAATGAATGATGTAATGCCAACGAGGAGACTACCAGATTAAAACCACTCTCAAGTAAAATACTTTTCAACAGCTTTCGGCATTTTGCTTGATTCTCCTCTTTACGCTTATCAGGCGTTACCGAAAAGGGCCCGCTTGATTCAAGATCGTCAAAAAATGCTTGATGTTTACCAATGCCAGTCGGCGGAAACCAAGTAATCTCAGCAGCTGCGCTTTCTGGAGTAATTTTTGATGAACAATCAAGGGATCTCTTTTTAACCACTGGCAGAATTTTTACTTTCATCCTGTTCATTTGATGATAGACAGAATCAACCAGTGTCTTCCAGTACTTATCGGAGGGCATCTGACGAGGGAAAAAAGATTCGTACACTTTTATTTTGCTCAGAATCATACTTTCAGTTTCAGGGTTTGCGTCTGACAATTTAAGAAAATCCCGCACCTCGAGCAACATCGTGATGTAGCATGACGCTACGACATCTTGCAATAACAAATTATTCCAGTCACTGCGATATCCACCACGGTTTTCGTCATCTCTCCACAAACTCCTTCTTGCTTCGTGGTCTAACGCAAAGTGGCCATTTACGTGAACTGGAAGGTTTGTCTCAAGAGGGAGAGGTAGAAAACAGTAGGCTTTTTTTTTTCTTGGAGATGAATACCTGCGATGTTTGTTCTCCAAAAGACAGGCAACACCACCGCGAGGAAGAATTCCAAGCTCTTGCCTCTTAAACGCGTCAACGATACTTTCTTTTACATCTTTTTCAAAACCAACCTTTTGCACAATTCGCCACTTTTCCGTGTTGCCACAGCTGTCTGTTATTTTCAAGACGTAGGACACTTTTTTCGTTGGTATCTTTCTTGGATCAATCCCATCTTCCTCCTTTGCCAACTTTGCAATCTGTTTGATGTGATCAGCAAATTCTTTCCTCTTGGCTTCATCTTTTTTCGACATCGCTACTTCCACTGTGTAGGAATTCGCTAGATTGTTACTTACTTTATCGATCTCACAAACGGTAATCTTTCTGACATTGTTCACAAAGAGCAGGACCTCAAACATTTCTTCTTTAAGCCGTTCCATCATAAAATCCAGTTCTTTCACTGACACAGGGTTTGAAGAAATTTTTGATTCGCGAGCCATATCTTCGGTCCTTAGCGGCAATCTGAACATGGTTGCGTTGTCAATCTTAAAGTGTTCTAATAAGTAGCAAGGAAATACATCAGGGAATTTCTTCCTGAGAGTAGCTGTTTCGTTGAACCTACCTCCTGGCTCTGATAGAGTGGCGCCTGGAACATACTTGCAATGTGGGTCAAATACACACAGAACATCTCCAATCTCCTTTCCATGGGACACGAAAGACGGCACGTCAGTCAGGTGATAAACAGCATTGAAGCCCACCCCGTACTGGCCTGTTTTGTTCGGATCTTCACCCTTAGTACCCTTACCGAGGATCTGAATGCCTTCAAGATCAACATTGGTGAAAGGCTTGTTGTTATACACACATAAAGCGGGGCCTTGTAGAGGTTTCCAACAATCTTCAAAAACCTTTTTATCCGGATGGTGTCTCGGGTCCTTTATAAAATAAATCTCGGTCGCTTGTGCATCGTCTGCATTTTGAAGAAGTTCTTTCAAAATTTCTCTTTCGCAAGGGTAACACTGAAGAATGCGTTTCAGGCGATTTGTAAGTTCCTCTTTCTGTCCAAAGGACATTCTAACCATGTGGTACCGCAGAGCCTCTTCTCTTCGAGTTTTCACACCAATATGGTCACAAGTTGGCCAAGGAACTTTCGCATGAACAAAATGTACTCCTTCTTCGTCAGGCATCCATGGGCAGTCCTTAATACAAAGCTCAGATATTTCCCTCATCACTCCCGAAGAGTCGGGAAGGTAAATGGTTTCCCGCTCTTCTTTTAATAAAGCAGGGTCATTTCTACTTGTTTGTAGTCTTTCTCCAAGTTGTACTGCCAGACGTACTGCTACTTTAAGATTTTTCTCGTCCAGTTCGTTTTCAGAAAATAACTCTTTGATCTGCCGTAGAACTAAGATAAAATCATTCTCGTCAAAACATTCTTTGACACCGAAGACTCTCAAAAGCTTGGGAAAATCTTCTGCATACCCTTTTGGAAGCTGGTAAAGATATGGCGCACAATCATTGTTGAGATGAAAAGCCACCTGACTTGGGTAAAGAAACTCTCTATCATATAAAATACATTTCTGGTCCTGTGGAATATCGTTGATGGTTGCCCCTTTACTGATGGCTCTTTCTAAGTAGGAATAGACTGCTCTGCATACTGAGTTTATCTCTACGATTTCCTTAGCGTTTGACGACTCAACTTCGGAAGCCATCGCCACTTTCAGTTGCAATATGACATGGTTTAGCTTTGCGTGCTTCTTCCTAAGATTTAGAAACTCCTCAACATCTTGAGAGATGGACAACCCGATAAGCGGCTTTAAGCTACACAAGCGATACTTTTCCTTTTCTAGAAACACATCTATTGGGGCGAACAGCACATTTTTTTCATACTCTTCAGCCTTCCAAGGTAAAGGAAAGTTAACTGGATTACTCAGAGCTGGAAGAAACTGAGCCTCCAGTATTCTTTGTCTTATCAGCTCTGAAGAAGTTTCATCTTTGCGCTCTACCTTCTTCTCTAGAGATTTCACAAATTCAATCGCTCTCTCCTCCGCTGCTTCACTGTTTACAAACCTGAGTTCATTGATACTTTCAGCTCTTTCTGCCATTTCCTGCCAAGGAAGATAATCCGATGCCATTCCTAAAAGCTCAAGCTTTGCAAGTCGCCCAGGATTCATAAAGGTTTCTGCATTTCCACATGGAAATCTGCCATCTTCAGGCAGAAAGAGGCGAGCTGCATCTTTGCCGGGGTGAATGAGCTCAGAAGGACGTCTAAGTGACTCGCCAAGTGGCGATGCCGGAATACAAGAATGAGTTTTGACCAAATCATCACAGCTGTTATCCAATGCATGCAACACCAGCGTATCTCTCATCTCTGAAGGCACTGCGGAGATGTTCGGGAAAAAGAGTTGACGAAAAAATCTATCTTTGTCGTAGGTTTTTGAGTTAATCACTTCCCCGTTTCCACAGCTTTCGATAGAATTAACGACAGAAAAAGGGACATCAATAACCACTGCGCGGTCGCTCATTAAAAGCTGGAAAACTCTGAATGAAGTGTCGCCAATCAAAGGATCATTTCGAAGAGCTGGATGAAGGAATACCACCTCGTTAATAGTAAACCAGTTCTCTCCATCAGAAAACAACGCAAGACCTCCAGTGGACATCTGCGTGTAAAATGATTGCGTGAGGCATCGGAGCTTCGGGAATACTTCATCAATTTTTGGCCACAAAGAATGGAACTTATAAGACCCGTCAGTTGGAGCAATTGACCTTACATCTTCAAGGAGACAGACATAAGCTGAGCAGATGGAATCTACCATCAGCGCTTTGTTCCAGTCAGCACCATAACATTCTATGTCACCATCGAGTTTTTCCTGTAAATGGCGTCGGTTAGCAGCTAGTGCGAACGCTCCATTTATATGAACTGGAAGGCCACTGTAGATGGGAAGAGGAAGGAAGCAGAAAAGATTCCCATTGACATCAATTCCATCACCACTCTTACAAACAGGTACAGGCACAAAGTTGTCGGCGTCGATCGCAACTAGCTGAACAGCTACCCCTCCTGATGGAATGAGGCTTAGATCATTCTTGGCAAATTGCAGTGCCCTTCCATCTCCCATGGAGGAGACTATTAGCCAGACTGTACATTCGGAATGTATAGTTGCTGCATCAGGTTTAAAGAAACGTAGACCGCATTCCGTGAAAACACAATGAACGTTAACTATCAACGAGGACTTAATCAGTGTGCTTGCATGTCCCTTTCTGGATGCTTGAACAACTCGCGACGCCGCTTGAAGGAAACTGCATTGCTTCAAGAAATTCTGTTCATGAACCTTCAAAATGTTTGCGGTGGGAGGAAGGGAAACAGGGACGGACAAGGCTCTTACCGTTCCCTCTTTAGATAATGACTTGGAGACCTTAAACATCAATTTGATTGTTTCTTCTTGGACGTTGGGTGTGTTCAAAGAAAAAATGCTAACGCGGAGGACGTTCTGTGTAAAGAGAAGTAAGGTTTTGGCCCCATTTACCAGCATAAGTAGTAGTTCTCGCATTTGTGTGTCGTTATACGCCAGCTTTTTTATCTCACTTCTGAGAGCTTGCTCACTTGTTCTCAACGGGAATCGAAACAGAGTTCCACTGAACGAGTTGTCCTCTTTGTTTAGATTTAGATCACAGCCAAATATTCCATTGAATGGTTTAAACTGATTTCTAAAGTTACGAAGCCTGCTCACATCTTTGTTGACATCAATCTTTATTCCGGGCTTCCTTTTGTCTTTAAGAGCCTTCCCGAGGTACGACGTATGGGGATCAAAAATCACAAAGTTGTTTCTGCTTATGAACATCGGAACATCTGTTAAATTGTAAACTGCATTGAAGCCCAGTCCAAATCTACCAATCTTTTCGGTGTCGTACTGTTTCGTTGCTTCGTTCAATTTTTTAATGTTCTCAAAGTCTTCATCCTTAAATGTTGCATCGTTGTAAACCCACAACGCAGGGCCTTGGCAACTCTTCATTCCCTCGTCAATCAGACAACTCATTGCTTCCTCATTCGTTCTCTCGTCATACAAAAATCTGACCTCTGTGGCCCCTGCATCGTCTGCGTTTTGAATAAGCTCCTTTAAAACTGAAAAGCCATCCGTGTACTCTTCGAGGACGCGATTAAGTCTAGTGGTAAGTTTCTCTCCTTGTCCAAACTCTTCTCCAAGGGCCAGCTCATCAGCATCAAGCAGCCGGTTTGTTACACTTGGCACACCAAGACGCGCAGCAGTTGCATTTGGGACACTCGGGTGTACATAGAAGTGGTCGATTTCTTCGTCGTGATTTTCTTCTCCATACATGCAGCTTTCTACGGGCTTAAGCCTGACATAGGAATTGTCTTCTTGATACGTTGGGAACAGGATGTGTGTTTGGAGCTCTTCAGATAGATTCTCACCCGCCAACTCGTTCAGGATATTGACAGACAACTGAAGATCGTGTTTCACTTCTGAAGGAGTCACAATTTCATTGTCCTGTTTCGCCTTCATCATCCCAAGGGCCTGCACCAGAACAGATGGATCGCATTTCTCCTGCATGCCAAAGTACATAAAAAGACGATTATGTGGCCTCATTTCTAAAGGAAGACACTGTATGTAGGGTGTGAGATCAATGCATGGTCTTGTAGCAAGTAAGTGACCTGGTAAGGAAAATCCATCTCCATTCCATACCCACGAGAAGACGTCAATGGAGTCAAATGCCTCAGCTACATCATTGTAGTGCTCACCTAGAAACCTGTATATTTCTGTCAACATCACAATGTAGTGCGGTTTTTTCTCTTGCGAATAGCAGTTAACCGCAGTTTTTAAGTGCTGGAGTACTTGGAAGACACGAGGTTCATTGTGCCAACCGAAATATTTGCTGATCGCATTCGATATATCCACGCCAACTACAGGAATTACAGTTCCAATTAGGTTTGCAAACTGGTGGCTCTTTAATTCAATTGGCTTGAAAAGTCGTTCAATTTCTCCTTCTTCTCTTTCCCAAAACGGAAGGCTAGAGGGGTAACCATAGGGCCGCTGTTCTTGTCTTGATACCCAAGGGATAGTGGTCAATAGCTTCCCCAATGTCTGTCCGCTAACCAGGCCAAGCATCTTGTGTGGATCCTTGTCAAGAAAGTAAAGGATTGCCTCAGATTTCCGTTTTGAAGTCGGACGCTCGGGAAACTTACTGACCACCTTCGCGCTTTGATACAGGTCAGTCGCGGTGACGTCATCCTCGCCTTTCATTCCCAGTTCTTCAAGTACCATAAGTACTGAAGGGCTAACGTATGTGGAAGTAGGGAAAACATCCTCGTGGACGAATAGATTTTTAATATTGGCTTGTCGGGGGTCAAAGAGTTCATAAGGCCTCGCTCGCCCTCTCTCCCTGGAAACAAACCCCAAGTTCTTTAAAATCCGCTTGAAATGCGCATTCTTGCGGATAATACTTGCATAACGGTCCAACACATAGCTCATCAGCTTGTCAATTTCTTCAATGGAGTAACATCCCCGCTCGACATCTGGAAACACAACCTGACACAGCAACTCGATGGGCGCCAGAATCTTAACTCTTAGGAGACGTGCATAAGCCATTGAGTCTTCTTGAGAAACATCAATTAGGTCTCTTTTCAGTGTAATGGGAAGAGGCTCAGGGGGTGCAGCACTCAGACCATCATTTTTTGACACGAATTTTTTCCAATAAGTCTCAAAAACTGGTAAAGAGCACAGAATATCAGACTCTAGGGGACCCAAGTGTGTGTCCCTGACATTAACGAAAAATGATCTCAGGAGTTGTTTTTCCTCAGTAGAGAGTTCTGTACGTACGATTTCGGGAAGCTTTCCACTACCCATCATCCTTGAGGAAACCACCATTGCTTTCAAAACACCTTGAACGGATGGCGGATGAACAAACCTTCCTAAAACGGCTGGATGGAGGCCAATGAATGAGGGATAATCGGTCATGATAAGCACACCAAGCTTGATAAGAACACATGAAACACCGTCGTCTAGGCAGTGACCATATAGATGTTTTACTACTACTCTGGATGGTTCACTAAGTCGCGCCAAGGTGACTGGTGTCTTTGACATGCTTAGCGGAAGCAGCGGCAGTTTACCGAGGCTGAGAATATCACCTGCATTGGAAAAATAATTTTGCAGATACCTCCACACAACCCTAATCCATCCTTTGGGTGGATGGTTATGATAACAATCTTCAAGGTACCATGAGACGGTGTTTCCGTTGCTCCACTCAAAGGGCAGTGCTTGTGGAAGAAGAGTTCTTACCTCATCCTTATGAAGAATCCGCAACTGTGTGGATCCTGAAAAGAAGTAAGACGTATAATATTGACTGATTCCGTTGTGAAAAGCCAACCAAAAAGGAATTGAGCCGACAATATCTTAGGAACTACCCTAGAAATGCAAGGAACGGAATAAAACGTCAGATGCATAACATTTACATTTTGTCACTGAATTTTGTCTGAGAAGTGCAGTTGCAAGAGATTGTTAGTTCGGAGACCATGCCATGGGAATAACTGGTCTTAAATCAAGAGTTATGGAATTAGAAAGGCATTTCACCTTGCTCTCCTGCAGATACAAGCCTCTGAGTGATCTTCTTATCAGTGATCTCCTCATCAATCGTTTCATCTAAGAAACGATGTTCTAGTCCAGGAAAAAGTTCACAGGATGTTCCTCTGAGCAGATATACACGGGCTTCGAGTGACTTGCGAATTTGATGAAGCTTCCATCAGAAAGAGGCAACAGCTCCAAATCACAGATCTCATTAAATTTGCCATCTTTCAAACAGAATTCTAGGAGCAAAAGTTTTTCATGCCTATCAAGCTTTTTATAACATGTCGGAGTTTTCTTCATGGTCGATCTCATCAAGCTGGAGTTTATTTCCTTGGCAAAGGTATAGCAAGTAACGGCCGTGATGACATGGTTTGGTACAGACACCACTGGCACATTAGCTTCCAGTAACACTCGGACAAGCAGTTCTTTGGTGTCATTTACGTCAAGTCTGTCGAAAACGGCTTCTTGTACTCTAATCCAGCGTCCAGAATCTGCATTTGTGTGAACAACATTTTGCTGTAACAGTGTGCTAAAAAAAGGATTGATGAGCTTCTTCCACTTCGGGTCAATACAGACAAGATTTGGCCACGCTCTAAAAGACAATAACCAAGGTATCATAATTAGACTGAATTTCAAAACAGTAGGAGTTTCGCTTTAAAACAGATCAAAGTTGAGTTTTCTCGAAATAAACTGCATCAAAATTTCTTTATCTCAGTGAAGGCAACCTCTTATTATTGATTGAAAATCTAAGATCAGAAAAAGCTATTTAGCTAGTCTATGAGATTAAAAAAATCTGGTGCTAGTTCTAAGCTAAGGGACTATTTCATAAACAAGATTGCTTCATACACGCATGTTTATCTGAGGAGAGCACTCGTTATTTTATATGACTTTCTGGTGACATTTGGTGAAATGAAAGCACACTTATGACAGATTTGAAAAATACTACGCCTTACTTGTAAATTGATGTTCTTGATAGAAAACAGGACTCCCCTTTTATAGCTTGTAAAATCAGAGTGGCATATGCACTGGGTATGGCCTCCTCCAGCAGACACTTATTCCACAACAGTGACTTATCTGCCAGTTGCCGACCCATCCTTTCTCGCTCTTCTTGATCTGCATTTGGAAACTTAATGTAACGCCTGTTCTGACTCAAAGCAAAGAAGCCATTTAGGTGTACTGGCAGACCTGTTAGGCTCCTCATCGGAACTGGTAGTGGCAAGAAACAAAACACGTGGCCCTCGATATCTGGCGTCTGCATTTCAGGATTATTAGGCAATGGCATGGCAACACCCACTATGGGTAGATAGTTTAGCTCTTTATCTGTCATCAGCCGTTTAAAGGTCAATGAAACCTCTCCTCCACAAAAGGAATTGGTGACGAGAAAGGAGTACTGCTGAAGAAGGTCCGTTTCATGAGATGAGCTGAACTTGATTGTCTCTATGGTGATCGGATAAGTCACAGAAACAGAGTGGAGAATCAATTTCCCAAGACTAATTTTTGAAAGGAACTCTTTTCTCTTATGGCGAACTTCTTCCAGGCTTTTGTCGGCAATTCTAACCCGTAAGGTTCTTCTGGGGCTAGCCTGTGACTCTTCTCGAACGTAAAGCTCAATTGACTCCAAGTGTTGCAGAAACAGAAGAACGAAGTGAGCATCAGCTTCAAAACTTTCAAACAAAGTGTCCATTTTCTCTTCGGTGTAGAGTGTGTTCGATAGATCAGAGGATGTGGTCCTCAGTGGGAAACGGAACAGTGTGCCATCGTAATAACCATCGGAAAATACTTCTTCCGTACAGTCGAAGATTCCTTTGAAAGGGAGAAACTGATCCGGTATTTTGTCCATCTCCACACAATCCTCATCAAGTCTCCAACATCTGCCGGTTCTTCTGTTCCGTTTATCAGAAAAGTAAACTCCATGAGGGTCAATGAATCCAATTTTTTCAGCGCTAAGCACACTTGGTAAATCTTTAAGAAAAGAGAACGCGTATATTTTTATTTCTTCGATTTCAATAAATCAGCAATGTCAAATAAGTACAAAATGGATCTTAATAATAATTTAAATGTCATACATATGATACACGATCCTCGCAGTAGATAGCGCTATTTAAGCAATATGATCGTGTATCATATGTATCTAATACCGCAGTTCAAAATATATGAACTTCATATATTTCATTGTATAATTTAAATGTCATATTAGTATAAATAATACAAGGCGTCTCAGGAGCAACCTTACCGATAACATAGTTCTATAGATAAATATACTTGGGTGCGCATAGATATAGAATTCCTTTCTGAGTGTTTAACTCGAAAGGTCACGAGTGAGCGCAGCGAACAAGTGAGATATCGAGTTGAATACGTGAGGAAAAATTCCATATCTAAAAGCAACGATGTATTATTTTGTTCGTCATGTAAACACAACAGGCTTTTACTGACAAGAAAAGTCCTAGAATTAGAGTGTTCATAGTAGTGTGGAAAGATGCCATCACGGTGTATACATTGAAACGAATCTAGTTTGAAACGAATCTAGTGCAATACAGTGGCAGAGATGTCCCGACTATTTCCCCTTGATAGAACCCCATTAGGGTCCATTATGACGTACCTGTCATATGCAGTACAGACTTAAAGCCCAAGCCGAACCGACCAACTTTCATGGGGTCTTCCACCTTGATACTATCGTTAACAAGACGTATTCCTTTCCAGTCGTCTTTCCCAAACGTCGCATCGTTGTAGGAATAAAGTGCTGGACCCTATGAAGAAAACCATGGAGAGAGATAACGACTCAAACTTGGCAGCAATGTAAATTCAGAGGGATCTCAAAGTATAAATGGGTGCAGGCAATATTCCTGGTTGCTTACCGCCACGGAAACCGAAACAAATTTCAATTCCAATTATCTCCTTCAGCAGATAGATCGTTAACGTCTGTCCAGGTTGGTTTTACCGGTTATTCCTTTTGACATAGGTTAAGGTTACTCCACTGTTTTTAAACTCTAAACCAAGTTTTTGTCAGCAGTAAAAACACGACAAAGCGCAAAAGCCGCTTAAAGTCCAGTGTCGTAAAACATGAAATTTGCTTCATGTAGTTTTGAGGTTTCTTTTCTAAACCTATTTGTACAGATAGTCGATTATCACCTGAAATTGTGAGAGCTCCTCATCAAAGAGATATTCAGTTCCATAACTGTTTTTGTCATGCAAAAACTTAACATGTCTGGCATTCGCATCCTCCGCATTTTGAATGAGTTCCTGGGGAAAAAAAGCATGTTAAAACCATGTCATGTAGGACCAACGTCAAAAGCAAAATTAGGTTTAATCTTCCCACGGAAAAACTAAATGGAACAGAAAATAGTATAGTTTACGGTCCATTTAACACTGTCTTGGCGACTTTCTTTGTAACGCGTGTGGTGCTACTAGGCAAATGTAGGTAGAAAAAGACACACACACTCACACGCACACACGCACACACGCGCACACACACACGCATATTTATTAATAACTGGATCATTGGATAATGCAATTCAAGACTTTTTATTGGCTTAGCCATTCTGGCTTATGAACCAATATACCATAACCTAATATCTGTACATTGTAACATCCGGTTTCTTCTTACAAAATAAAGTCGAGAAGATTTAATTGTCTTATATCTTGGGAACGTTGTTTCAATAAAACAATTATTCCACTCGCGCTTGTTGGATATAAGAAGATTATAGCCAACTCGGCGTTGCACGCCTCGTTGGCTATCTATCATCTCATATCCAACGCGCACTCGTGGAATAATTGTTAAATATCTATATATATAAATGAATAAAGGCTGATAGTTTCGAAAGAAACTGTTTGGGGCTGCGTCGGTGGGAGTAACGAAATAATTTAGATATATCAANAACCGTAAGTTCAAGCGTAATATCTGTTCTTAGTCCGAAAGTCAGACTAGTCCGTTTTTCCGAGTATTTGAGGCCAGTTTCGAGACAGCTTTACGCCAGACGGTTTTCGTGTTTCTTACAGCAAAGAATTGGTGAGTACGGCGGTTTGTGCGTTCTATTTTGCGTGGTTTTTCTGGCAGACACATGGCGCTCAGCCGTCCCAGGCCGGTTTTCGCACACAGGCGAACAGTACGATTAATCATCGATGACTCTATGGAACTTGATTCTATCAACATCGCAAAATCCCTGCCTGATTTTGCTAAACGTATTACTGGCATAGTGCCCCAATTCGGAGGAAAATGCTTCGATATAACCTTAGATGACGCAGAATGTGCGGCGGAACTTGCGAATACTGGCTTCGATTATGGAGATGAGCGAAAGCAACTACGCTTGTTGGGCGCGAAATCGATTCGGCGCCTCGTTGGCTATCTATCATCTCATATCCAACGCGCGCTCGTGGAATAATTGTTAAATATATGTACAAATGTGGAAGGAAATTATATATATACAGTTGACGGATGCCACCACAGGCGTTACAAAGAAAGTCGCCAAAACAGCGTTAAAATGACCATTGGTGACAAAGCGGCTACGGAAAAAAGGTAAGGAGAAAAAGGTAAGGAGACTTCATACGTTATATTTCCCCGCTTTTACTATCCCCTTTAATTTTTTCTTAATTTTTTCATAATTTTTCCTTTTTTAACGGCTCACGCTAACGCTTGAAATTCGATCTAATTATGTTAGGTATTCCCGTTAATGACCTTTAGACCCCAAAATCACGTGCACACACAGTACGCTTGGGCTGCCCGTGTTGTAAAGAACTATTATTTAGAACACTCTTTGTTAATAAATGACTGACGTTTTACGACACCGGAAGTGTTTCCACACCGGAAGTCAGTTCTCTCGCTAACCAGTTTTACTCGCTACTAGAAGTTAAAGGACTTGGCGTAAATGTATTTTCGTGATATATCAAAACTTTTATTTATGAACAAAACTTGACCCCAATTAAGGTAATCGTTTACTAGTTCTAAATTGAGGATCTCTGAGATATTTGACGGCTAACATTGACTTGCTTATTAGGGGTGGCGAATGGTAAATGCGAGACATTGCGAGACGGCGAGACTAGCGATTTTCTTTGCGAGCCCGAGACATTTTGACCTTTTAGATTGCGATACCGAGACTTCAAAGGGTTTTGAGTGCGAGCGCGAGACGTTCAGACTCTTAAATTGCGAGCCCCATATTTGGTTGAGAGCTATGAGAATGAGCTTGTACAACTGAAAGTCTCACAAAGGATCCTTATGTTGTAAACCCTTGTACGAAACATCAGATCTGAAAATCTGTCAACAGTCAATAAATTCTATTTTTTTTTTCCTGGCCATGACCTTATTATCCGGTCAGGAGGTTGCACTTGGTCATTTTCCTTTGAAATTTTTGACTGACGCGCTGTCACTTACAACTCAAGTTGTCTGGAAGTCGTCAGAAAGAACGCGCGGCCGTGTTTGAACTCAGTTGAGAGTTCAAACACAGAGCGCTGGACTGTTGTGCGGGAGGTAGAAGGTTCGAGCCCCGGCCGGACTAACTTGACTCAGGGTCTTAAAATAATTGAGAAGAATTTGCTACCTTTCTTTAACATCAAGAAATGGTTAGATATTCTAGTCTTCTCGGATAGGGACAAATAAATGGAGGTCCCGTCTCCTGCAGGGTTGGGGTAGGAGACGTTAATTTCCCGCACACGAGATTACTGTGTGATGGATGTACTCCCCTGGGGTGGGATGGGTG